AAGAATGAGTTAGAATTTGGATCTAGGTCCTCTGATTCTTAATGCTGTGCTCTTGGCAGGTAAATCCTACCTGAGTGACTTCTATGTGCAAGACTCAAGAAAATAATATTCTATTACATTCACATCTGTTCCTCACCAATACCCTAGGAAGTCAGTAGTGCGGGTATTATCCCCGTTTTATAGATTTTATGATTACTGAGCCTCTGAGAGTTTCCATGACTTGCTCACAATCACATAGCAAGGAACAGCAAAGTCATTAGCCACACCCAAATTTTGTGCCTTCGGGCTCCATGCTTCAGCATTCTTTCCACTGGAAACCTAATCCAATTCAACCCAATAAGCATTTACTAAATGTGTACTCTTAGGAGGCCGCTAGGTGGTGCTGCAGTGGACAGAGTACTTTGCCTAGAGTCAGGAAGACTGGAGTCCAAATCCAGCCTCAGACACTTGGATGACCCTGGGCAAGTCACTTAATTTGCATCAGTTTCTCCTATCTTGATCCTTCCTCTCTCCAAGTCCAGCACTCAGCTCTACCTATCTGCCTTGTAGTGACTAGAATGCTGGACTTGGAGACAGGAAGACCTGAGTTCTAATCCTGCCTCAGACTGTTATCAACTGTATGACTCTGGGCAAGTCACTTAACTTTTCTCAGCCTCAGTTTCCTCCTCTGTAAGACAGAGAAAATATGAGCACCTACCTCACAGGGTTATTGTGAATCTCAAATGAGAAGACATGTAAAGCACTCTGTAAACCTTCAAGTGTCATTGAAATGCTATATTGTTATCTATAGATAGAGGGTTTTAAGTCCCACACATTGAAGTGTGAATGGATAAAACTCTGGATCATACGCCTGACAATCCTCCGGCCTCTGGTGGAAAAGCTTTCCTTGTTCTTAAGGAGGAATAAAATAAGAACTGATTTAGCCAAACAGGAATGGCTTCCCTGTGTAGTTTGTGCAGCTAATCCTCATATTCATACTGGGCCTGGGAATGAGACTGCACTCCTGTCATGACAAGATAGGATGCCGTGATGTAGAAGAACTGGGTCATAGCCAAGGACTTCAGTCAAAGATTCAACCATAAAGTTGTTGTGAAGCCTTCAAAGAAAATCTCTACATTTAAAAACAGTTTTGAAAGTCTTCATTTCTGTTCAACATCATGGAGACCCACCTTCACAAAAGCTGGGCTGGTTGACCCTTACTGTCATAAACCATCTCACTTGTCTTTTATAAACTGAACTTAGAAGCGATCTTGGAATTGTTCCATCACACAAGGTTAAACTGAGATTTTTCAAAATAATGAAGCATATTCCATTATGTTCTCACTAAAAATATTATTGTTAACAATGTAAATATTAACTGCCTCCTCTTCTGCCACTTTGGCCACTGACCCCATCCTGCCCGGGATTTCTTGTCCTTCCACCCAAATTTGATATTGGCCCAGGACAACTCAATTTCCAAAGATATTGTTGTTATGACCATATCTATCTTTTTCTTTACTTTTCTTTTGCCTTTAAACACCATTCTGGCTCTAGTAGGTAGTCGGATGGATCCCAAAGTATGGTCTGGAGTCACCAAAGGGTTCCTGAGAGTCTTTCAAGGGGAGCCATGATGTCAAAACTATTTTCACCATCACCATGGCTAATTTTTTTACTATCTACTGTGTGCCAGGTACTATGCTAAGTGTTTTACAAATATTATTTAATCCTCACAATAACTCTGGGAGGCAGGTGCTGTTATTATCCCCATCTTATATAGAGAGAAACGGAGGAAAACAGAGGTCAAGTGACTTGCCCAGGGTCACACAGCTGGTAAGTATCTGAGTCTGGATTTGAACTCAAATCTTCCTGACTCCAGGCCCAACACTCTACTGTGCCACCTGGCTGCTCTTAGGATAACATGATGTATAAAGTAATAATAGTATGAAAAGAGGTTTTATTTCTAACATGGTAAATACTGATAGATGTAATCCACACAAACAAAAGCTAGTTGGAGGATCTTAGGGAGTTTGAGAACTGCCATTTTACATCTCACAAATATTGCATGAATAATACATATTTCCAGTGGTAAAAAAGCATTTTTGGGGGAACAACTGAAGCCATCTTTAGAACTCTGGTGTGGCTTTTCTTGTATTTTTTTTAACCTCTCCTCTTAATTATGTCAATAAATCCTGCAGTAGAACCATACTGATTGTTTAAAAAAAAATCCTGAGAATATAAATGTTCGTACTGTTAGTAAGCTAAAAATTATTTTAAAATACTGTTTGCTTCATCTTTATTTCATTTTGACATTACTATAGTGTGTGTATTTTATAATTTATACAATCATTAAGCAATAGGACATGTAAATAATTTTACATAAATATACATAAATGAGGGAATGCTTAAAAATTTAATAACACAGTACCGTGATAAAAAACAACGTCCTGCTTTTGAATAAAGCTAATGAATAAAAGATAAACGAGGGTCTGCTGTAGCTCCAGGGCATGTATCCAGAATGTGAAAGAGCACCTCCTGAGACTCCCCAGACTTGTCCAACCTGATGCCATATCCAGTTCCAGTGAACCACTTAGAAACAAACAACATGTCCAGAAAGAAGCTAGAAAGCATTCCTAAATCTTGGGCAAGACTTTGACAATTTTAGACACAAAACTAGTGTTTTCATCTCGATGGCCCACCAGAGGCAAGAATTTTAGAAGAGAAAGGCAGATTTTGGAAGTGAACAGCTGGCTAAAAGGATGATGTCGGGAAGATCTGGTCTCTTGGGACCATAGCTTAAAATACAGCAATGATGGGCCCTTGGTCAGTGATGGAATGCACTTACAAAGGCTAACAAAAGCAAAACAAAACCAGGAATCTTACAAATCTCTACAAAAGGTTCTGAAGCTAAAGAGAAGGCAGGAGGAAAAGGGTCCATATACACCAGGAAAGACATTCAATAATCCTCTGGAGGTAAAATCCAATCAATGAAGGAGCAATAAGACCCACAGCATAAAGGATTTCTGGGTAACAAACAAAGGGAACCAGAGACCCACGTGCAAAGAGGCATATTTTAACACATCGGGGTCAACAGGGTCCAACGACTGGAAAACGGCTTCAGGAGATTATATCTAATTTAAAAGAAAGAGACTGTAAAAGGGAGGCATAGAGTTGTATGTATCAAGGTTATATGAGGGGAGTTTAAAGCGTTTTGGTGAAGCTCAACAGCAGGAAAGACAGAAGTGTCATGGAACCATGCTAACGACCACTGGGACTGAAGGAGTCAGTGAGGAGTTAAGCAAAAACCCCGAACCTGACAAGGAAGTATGACACAATAATGAGTCTGGGGGTGGGGAGGGAGGTTTGCTCAGTTATGCAGCAAATGCTGAAACTCCCTCTGCTGAAAACAGGACAGGTTATCATTTATTACATTGCCAAGATGAAAATTCCCTCCTCCAAGAGGTAAAAAAGATGGTGGCTCTTGGGATCTAGCCCTGATTCTCCGACAAAGAGGAACTTATTGCTGATGTGGAAATATTAGGAGCCTTGTGCAAAGTGGTTGTTTCATCCTTGAATTCATGACAGAGAAGAAGAAAGTGAGGCATTGTCCCCTGTACCCTAGATTATGGGAGAGAAGGTTTCAAAGGGTTAAGAGAAGGCTGGGGGGATCTCATGGCCTGACACCTACAGGGGAAGGCTGCTAAGGAAGGATGGGATGCTTCTGAGGACAGACTTCAGAAGGCACAGAGAGAAACATTGTCAACAAAGAGAAAAAGGGGTGTTGCTGTAGAGAGATTATATGGGTGTACAGGAAATGAAATGAGATTTACAAAGACATGTGTGGAGGCTGGAAATAAAGGCATGTAGCCGAATACCAAACTGCGGCACAGTGCTTTAAACAGGGCCAGGTGTGTTACATGTGAGAACACAAGGAGGCCAGTGAGGCGTGCCAAGGACACAGAGAGGGCAGTAGAGAAAGTGCTTGTGTGACCTGGGGTGAATGGGACAAAGGAAAGAAGGCATAATAGTCAACTCTCAAATTCCGCCTGTTTTCTTTGTTAAGGAGAAGGTTCTTTGGAATGGAAAGGGCAGAACAATTGTGTCTAAAATTGATAGCCATGATATAACAAGGATATAGTAAGTGAGCCCCTAGCCACCCTTAGTTCAAGTCTCAAGGTCCCCCCAAACCATGTAGCAGAATAATAACAGTTATCAATTTCTATGTGTTGGAAATTTGCAATATGAGCCTGGCTCACACCCTCATCATCTCTCACCTGCATAAATGCAATAGCCTTCTTTCCATGGAGGTCCCCATGGCCCAAGTCTTGTGCCATGCCAACCCACGCTTCCCTAAACTGCCAAAGTGATCTTTCTGAAGCATAGGTCTGACCATGTCACCTGCCTGCTCAGTGAGCTCCAGTGCCTTCCTGTTCCCCTCTAGATTCAATATAAAAATCTTGGTTAGACATTTAAAGTTCTTCTAGCTGGTCCCTTCCTACTTTTCCAGTCTTCTAATACTTTACTCCCTTCCCTATGCTCTGTGGTCCAGCTACACAGACCTCCTAGCAGTTCCTTGGATGAGCATCCCATCTCCCATTCCCCTGCCTGATTCTTGGAATGTTCTCTCCTTTGCCTCTTAATTCCCCCCCCCACCCAGGTTTCCTCACCTTACGTAGGAGGCCTTTCTCAATTCCCCAGCCGCCAGTGCTCTCCCCTTTCAAATTGCCTTCCATCTACCCTTCATGTATCCTACCTACCTAGTTGTTTGCATGTTGTTCTTCACGTTAGAATGTAAGCTACTTGAGGGCAGGGACATTTTTTTGCCTCTCTTTATACCCCAGCACTTAGCACAGTGACTGGTATACAGTAAGTGCTTGATAAATGTATGTTGACCACCTGACTTTCCACTCTTCCACACTGTTGTGTAGACATATGACTCCTGTATTTCTTCCTATAGAAAGGTAGCATTTTTTAAGTGACTAGATTCTGAAATATGTTCTCCTTTTTTTTTTTAACCCATGCAGATTCGTGGCAAGAGCAAAGCCTCAGAGTCTGGTCTACGTGAAGGGGATGAAGTGGTATCTATCAATGGCACCCCGTGTACAGATCTTACATACTCAGAAGTCATCAAACTTATGGAAAACATCACTGATTCTCTCCAAATGCTTATCAGAAGGTAAGGAAGCCTTTTCTTCTTGCCAAATTAAGTGGAGAAGAGGGTGTCCTGCTCACATGAGCGGCAGAGCGTTTATGAGCTGGGGGTGGGTTAGGGTGATTTGGAACTAAAGAATCATACATGCAAAGTCAGCCAATAAAAACCACCATGGATGGGAGCACTCACCTATGTCCAGATATTTCACATTACTCCCCTTCACACAGTTAACATTTCACCTAAACTGACCAGATTGCTTTTCTGTGAATTTGACCTTTTATCTTGGCTCTCCACTTTTTTTACACAAGCGTGCTCCATACCTGGGAAACACTTCCCTCTCACCTGTGCCTCTTAGCAGCCTATACTCCCTCCAAACTCTTTCAGGCGGTGCCTCTTCCATGAAAACCTTTCCTGATGCTTCGCCTCTCCACCTGGCGTTATGGCAGAAAATCTTTGGTAAACTTTGTAAACCTTAGGTGGAAAACCTATCCACCCTGGTCATCTCCAAGCCTTCTCTCCTCACTCCTTTAGAAATGTCAGCTACTGGTATAGTTATTGACATGTCTGTGTAACTGTTGTGTTCCCTTAGTCTGGGGTTCTTAATGTCTTTGTGTGACATGGACAGCTTTTTGGCTTCTGATGAACCCTGTGAACCCCTTCTCAAAATCATTTTTTTTAAAAAAAAATATACAGTCGAAGGAAATGCTGAATTTCAATAAGAGGTTAGTGAAAATTAAGATGTATTTTTTCCCACTCAAGTTGATTGACTCCCTGAAATCTCCCTATGTATCTCTTGGCGGAGAGATGGGCCCCCAGATGAAAAATGGAACCCTCTTGACTGCAGAAGTAATTGTGATTTTGCCTTTTGCATCATCAGCACCTGACATACTGCCCAGCACATAGTAGGTGCTTAATAAATATTTCTTGGATAGAATTAGTACTGGAGCTACTTGGAGTTGTTCTCCACTCTAACCCAGTAGTGTATTGGACACTGAGGGCTCATCTTCCAGTGTCACCTCTTTTATCATTTTAATACTGTCCATGGGGTTTTCTTGGCAAAGATACTGGACTGGTTTGCCATTTCTTCTCCAGGGGATCACCTTTTGTCAGAACTCTCCACTGTGACCTGTCCACTTGGGTAACCCTGCATGGTATAGCTCATGGTTTCATTGTGTTATATGAGCCCTTGAATCATGATAAGGCAGTGATCCAGGAGGGGCTTGGGTAGAATTAGATTGGAATGGATTGAACACTCTGGTTAATTGAAAAGCTCTCTCTTCTTCTCAGGTCTTCATCTCCTTCTTCCCTCTGGTTTCTGATAATGAAGTTGTCCTCCACACCAAAGCCAAGGCTTCTTCATTTGTCTTTGATTCCATCCCCTCTTCTCTCCTAGTTTTCAACCTCTTCCTGTCAGCTGGTTCCTTCTCTATCATCTTCAAATATTCCCAAGTCTCTCTCATCTTGAAAAAAATGTTCACTAGATGTTCCACTCTCCTCCAACTGTCTCTTGTACCTCTTCTCCCTTACTCAGCCAAACTCCTAGGAAAACCTATCCACACTGGTCACCTCCAATCTTTCTCACTCACTCCTCAATTCTTTCTACTCAGGCCTCTGCTCTCATCACTCACCACTCTCTCCAAAGTTTCACCAATGATCTTGTAATTGCCCAGCCTAATGGACTTTTTGTAGACCTCATCCTTCTCAACCTTGATGTATTTAGTCCTGTTTTTCTAACACTTCTGGTTCTCATCCCACCTATCTGACTACCCCTTCTTAAGCCCCTTTGAATTATCCCCACCACATCCCCTAATTGTGGGAGGGCCTCACAACTCCATCCTGATCACTCTTCTCTCTCTCTTTCTCTACACAGCCATCTCTCACTAACCTCATCCATTCCCATGAGTTTAATTATTATCTCAATGCAGATGACTTGCAATTCTCTCCATTCAGTTCTACTCTCTCCCTTGAGCTTCAGTCCTGCCCTTTCAATTGCAAATACCTCTTGGAAACATTTCTTTTTTGTTTGTTTGTTTGTTTGTTTGTTTTTTCATTAAAAATGTTAAATATACTTGATGCTTACTAGCTGTGTGACCCTGGGCAAACCACTTAACCTCAATTGCCTAGCCAAAAAGACAAAAAAACAAACAAAATGTTAAATGATATGTTTTGTTTCCATATTACAAATGTTTGCAGATTGTGCTACTGTAAGGGTCCCTAATAGTTCTCCCCACCTTATATCTTTTTCCCTCTTGAATTCACCTGCTGCCAAAGTGATTTTCTTTAAATGCAGCTCTAAGCATGTCACTCCCCAACTCAACAAAGTCCTTGTTGCTGTTCAGTCATTTCAGTCATGTCTGACTCTTCATGACCCCATTTGGGGTTTTCTTGGCAAAGGTACTGGAGTGGTTTACCATTTCCTTCTCCAACTCATTTGACAGAGGAAGAAACTGAGGCAAGCAGGGTTAAGTGACTTGCCCAGGGTCACACAGCCAGTAAGTATCTGAGGCCAGATTTGAACTCAGGGAGATGAGTCTTCCTGACTCCAGGTTCAGCACTCTATCCACCTAGCTGATAGTGGGAAATGTTGGTAATGTTAAAACAAAAAATATCAATAATAATATATTTAAAAGAGTAGTTTTTTAAGATCTTGGCCTCAACCTCTCTTTCCAGCCTTACTGTATATTACTCCACTTTTCTCTGGTGAAGGGAAACACAACTCCATCTCTATGCCTTTGCACTGGTCATCTTCCATGCCTGGAAGGCCCTCCCTGCTTACCTCCACTTCACAGAGTGTCTGGCGTCCTGCAAGATGCTTCTTAAGACGCACCTTCTGCATGAAGCCTTTCTTGATCTCCCCAATGCCAGCCCCCCTCCCCCGACAATTTGGTGTCTAACTACTCTGCATTTGTTCTTATAGACTTATATATGAGCATGTTGTCCTCCCCATGCCTGGATTGCCCTCAAAACTGTAAGCTTTATGAGAACAGGCATAGGGTTTTTTTGTTTGGAGGGTTGTTTTTGCTTTTTGTCTTTGGCTCTCTAGTACCTAGCACAGATCTGTGCATGTAGAGGTAGCTAGGTGCTAGGTACAGTAGATATGGGCTCAGGAAGACCTGAATTCAAATCCAGCCTTAGCCACATAAAAGCTGTGTGACCCTGGGCAAGTCACTTCACTCCTGTCTGCCTCCATTTCCCACCTGTAAAATGGAGATGCTAATAGCACCTACCTCCTAGGGTTGTTTTGAGAATAAGATGAGATAATATTTCTAAAGTACTTTGTGAGCTTTAAAGCACTGTATAAACGACAACTGTATATAAACACACAGTAGGTGCTTAATAAATGCTTGATGACTGAATTTTTCAAATGACATCAGATTAGCCTGAAGAACCTTTGTTCCCACTCTCCTCGAGAAACTTCTTGATTCATTTGTCTGCTTCCTAAGTAAGTCCAGCCTGCTCAGGTCACTTCCCTGGTCTTGGAGGAGACCCGCCTGGCAGTGTCTTGGGCCCTTATCCTGAACGTTAATTCTCTTTGTACAGAGAATTACAAATGTCAGAGCTATTGGACATTGGGAAAGATCCCTCGTGACTCCAGAACTTCTGCTGGAAGTCATGAGTTTTCATTTGTTTGTTTGTCCAGTGGATTCCTTAGTGCAGCTCTTTGTGGGGAGAGGAGAGGGGATGATATGGGTCGCTGGCCTCTTTTTATTGAAAAGAGATTGCAATGATAACAACGGCAACAGCCAACCTTCTCATCCAAGGTTCATAGGACGAGAGATTTCAAGCTAGAAGGAACCTCGAAGTGGATTCAGCCACTTCATTTTACAAATAAGGAAACTGAGGTCCAGAGATGTTGGGCACTTACCCAGAGTCACATAGGTGTCTGAAGTCAGCAGGACTTACACCGGGGTCTTCTGACTCCAAGTCCAGTGTCCTATCCACTCAGGGCTCTCTTGATTTTGCTTTAATTACTATTCCACTTCATCTTTGTTTACCCAACCTGTTTCTGGGTGGTTGGGTTCCTGTTCCATGAGGCTTTCCTGTCCTTTTAAGAGAAAAATTGCATCTTCTCATCTTCAAAAATGGCAGCTTGAATCACCCCAGTGGCATTTTCATCTAACCAGAGGAAGGCTGAAGAACTTTAGGACTTTAGGGCTGGGCCCCAGGGCCCTGCATAACAGGACTGCTGACCAGCTGGGAGCCAGTTGAGCATTTTGACTAAGGTCTATAGGAAGGAAAACATCACACTGCATAGTCCAATCCAAACCACTGTTGACTTCAGGGAGTCTGAACCAGCTCCTCCTCTCCAGTGGGGAGTTGAGGACATCCAACCTCTTCAGACAGCGTAATGAGGGATCTGTTCAGAGGAGTTTAGTCACAACCCTTTCTTCTCTAGTTATTGCCTTCTGGACCATGCCAACACTTCTTAACTTTTTAAAATAAGTTTTCATCGACATTTTCTTTTTTTACATCATCATAGTTCTTATGCATCTCTCCACCTTCCAGAGAGCCATCCCATATAACAAATAGCATTTTTAGAACAGAAAAGTCGGTGTAACTGATTAACACACTTTGGAAAAGTCCAAAGACATTCCTGATGCCGGAGGAGCTTTCACCTCCACAGAGGGCTGGGCTGGAAATGGCTTTCCATGTCTCTTCACTCGAGTCCTGCCGAATCTCGTTATTTTTTACATTCACTTTTATGTTCTGGTGTGTCATTGATCTTTCCATTTACGTTGCTGTAGCAACTGTGAATGTTGTTTCTTTGGCTTTGCCTGGCTCACTCTGCATCAGTTCGTGTAGATATGTCCATGATTCTCTGTAGTCATCATGCACATTATTTCTTACAGCACAGTAATACTCCATTACATTCATGTACCATAATTTGTTTAGACATTCCCCAAATGATGGGAATCTACTTGGTTTCTAATTCTTAGCTATCATGAAAAGTGATGCTATAAATATTTTGGAATATGTGGGGACTTTCTTCTCATTGATAGCTTCTTTGGGGTATAAGTTCAGTA